TTTATCTGGAAATGACAGAGTTTTCAGTAGGCTGTACGCATCTAGCCCAATAGCAGTAATAAAATGAGCTGGAATTTTGTCATCGCGAACATTCTTCGACATGCACCATGCGTCGAAACATTCAAGATAATCGGAGATTTCCCGCGGTGAACCATTTATAGGAAACTTTCCAAGATTATTTAATTCCATTGCGACGCCAAAATGTGATTGTTATTTGTACTAGTAGTATTGTATTTCGCAATGACCGAATTACAGGAACTCAACCAAAACACTGAGAGGGATGAATTTAGGAATTTGTATTTGGCGGAATTATATTTCAAATCAAAATAGTAAATATATTAACAAACAACAGTAAGTATTTAAACAATACAAAGATAGAAATAGTCAATCACCACATTTATACTGTTAATCCGCTGCATATATAATGGACTGTTCAAACTAGGAATTATACCTGTGGCCTTTCTTTGGGTTCTTTCCAGAATATGTAAGTCCTCTTTTAAGCAATAGATGACTGCCTGAATGCAGTTTTCTAGTTCCGGCTTCAGCAGAGATGCAATGTAAAGTGGTGAACACTTCACCGATGATTCTTGGGTTTAGGTCTGGCTTACTACTGATATGGATCTAAAGCTGCGAGCTACCAGTGCATAGTAGTGTGTCCTAGGTCTTAGATCGTAACGTATCAAAGCATCTAAATCCATCTGTGTATGAACCATCTTCTTTATGTTATACAGGGAGACAATGGAGTGCCTGATGCTCGTAACTGTACAGTTTGTTATGGTGATAGGGAGCAAGCATTATTTGGACAAATCCAACAATTTGCTAAGATCTGTTAGTCACATAAGCATGTCGCTTTCATCCTTAGGATCTCTCCGAATTCTGATTCATGTTCGTGAAGAACCACTGCAGATTCAGTAAGGTTGGGTGGTTAAACAATAATATAGGGAATAAATGAAAGAGGGCTAAGTATAGCTTTTTGTGGCACAAGACTATATCCCGCTTTCCAGGACAAGAGTTTCAAGTTGATTTTGATTACCTGTATTCTACCCAGATTCATTTAAGAAGGTTGCCCTTAACTTTACAACTTTCTGATCTCATGAGCAATCTTGTATGAGGTAGTTTGTCAAAAGCTTTGCTGAAATCTACGAAAACCACGGTAATAGGTTTCTTGTTATCCCTTGACCTGACTAAACTTCCTCTAGCTGTGAGTAGTTTTGCTGGATACAAGAGGTCTCCGAGAAAATCTTGATGTAAGCTGAAGATATAAGTACTTGTTTTCCATATGGACCATAATAGTCTTCTTGAAATTCTTTCCGGTATCATGATCAAGGTGCTGGTAAGACTGGTAGCCCAATAGTTTGAAGGACAATGTCCAGGTTACTGCTGAATCCTTCGATTCACGTGGTATAGCCTCGTGTCAGAGGAGTAGCCTGAAGATGGTAGTCGATGGTCCAGCTATGTGCCCTACCAGCTCTTTAAGAAGCCTTGGGTGAGGATCAACAGGTTCCACTGGTTTTTCTGTGCCTGGACTGCTTAGTGCTTGGAATATAATGTTGACGGAATTTATATAGTCCTTTTGTGGGGTGACTACAGCTGGTGTTATGGTTACAGCTTTTCCAGCGCATTAGTCATGGAGAGAGTGAAGTCATTAAATGTTCTATTTTCTACAAGAAAATTATTCTTGTAAAAACTTACGGTATTTGATAAATTCTGTAATTTATCATCTTCATGAAGAATAAAGAATGCTCAGTAGTAAGGACGTCAACTTGGTGTTGCATGAAAACTGACTAATCAGTGATGCAAACTTTTTAAATCTATCAACAACATCCATCTTAATGTGCTAAATAGGGTGCACTTAATGCTATTTTTACATTTAAAAGGGAGTCAAGGTTGACGCCTGACTTAAATGAAGCAAGATGGAATTTTAATTAATTATACAGAAATTATGATTCAGTGGTTCAGTGGTAGAATGCTTGCGAGTCATTCACCTGGTAGGGGTTCGATTCTTGGTTGACGTACTTTCACACCTTACTTAGCTGGTGGTAACCGGGGTAAAAAGGGTTGAGTTTAGACGTGCAGCCAACAACCCCATCTGGCATAAAAACAACACTACTGCTTTTGGAAATTCAGAGCTTGAGGTCCTATGTCCCACTCGAAAAACAAAGGAAATAGACAGGTTACAGATGTTAATAAATAAAAAACAAAGTGGTTTAAAAAACTTCTTGTTGTTGTTTCATTGAAGTTAGTTAAAAGTTGCTGATTATTCTTGAAAAAGACATATTTGTCTGCTTGATTAAGCTTTAAAGCTTATTCATTCACATACATACAATACAAGACAGGCATTAAAAGTATGACAGGTAAGGTTTACGTCGAAAACACTGTCTAATTTAAGGAGATATTGTTTATACTAAGATATTAACTACAAACCATTTTAGCCTATAAAGTGAGACTTCAATGACACAGTGACAGTGTTATTTGTAGTTGTAAGGGAAAGAGGTGAACAATATGAAACCAATAAACCTCTATACCTCCAAAAACGTGTTTATCCAGCAAATATATTACACTGCAATGGCAGGCTTCTGTAAACTTTGTACTGCTGTGGTCTTAGAGATTATAATGGAAAACCCTGTTATATGTATACAGAAGAAACCGCTCCATCCTTTCCTTCTACCTTGGGTGTAATTCCAAGTTCAACTGTTGTCGATATCTTGTTATTAATACTGCTTTTTTGCCTGTTTTCATATGATATTTATTATAATCATTTTCTTAACAAACCTTTTGGTCACTTGTCTCCATGCTCTTTCATTAACACCCAGTTTTTTCTGAACGTTTTTTGTATTGCGTAACCTTAGACTAAACTTAATAATCTTCACTCCCTAGTTACATTTTGATTATTCATCACACTTTTGAAATATTTTGTGATATGTCAGAGGTTCACGGTAGAACGATCACCAACCATGCACGTGGTTTGACGTTCAAACCCTGGCCGGCACACTCCTTTACCTCATTAGGTAAGTAGTAATCCTGGTCAAGAGAGAAGGTTGTGTGTGTGAGGCTAGCGATCCCACCCCCTAAAAATGAAACCAATGCTATCGAAAATTCAAAGCTGTAGCCTAAAGCCCCATGTTTCACCGGAGAAAAAATGAATGAGTTGAATAAAAAATAAAGGTGCGACTGTACAGCTAAATGGGTGAATTCACCTAAAAGAGATTCTTTGACCAACCGTTTGTTCTTATCTTCATACCTGGATAGGCATTTTTCAGGTGGAATTTCTTGAAAGCACCTTACATGCTACTCTTTTAAGTCACTAAGTCGGTTATTGACGTTTCAGTGCACTGTCAGTTGTTTGAATCTCTTTTGCAAGTACAAAAATTTCACCTTTCTTGAAGATTCTCTGTGTTTCAAAGTTTCAAATAGAATGTATCCAGTAATGTGTCTCGAATTTGAGAATCTTTGACAGTGTTTTTAGAGAACTCAACATCAATTAAGTTCGTTACCTTCAGGCATGAAACCGATCAAAAATGAGTATGGCTTTTAGTGAAAATATTTTCAAAAGGTGTTGCGAACAATTAACCATGCTTCATTGTTCCAGAGAATCAGGAGAAACTTGTGCATAATTTGTCAAACCTGTGCTTAAGTAAACTGGAAACAGAATATTTTTTATAGGATTTCATTATGAGCTGAAATTGGTTAGAGAACCACAGGATACCTGGGAGTACCGTTCAACTGTTTCGTCAGCCTAGTTTGGAACTCTTCAGAAATACGCACCCACCAACAGGGTTCAAACCCCGCACCTGCCGGTTGTAAGGCCGGCTCATAGACTATTAAGCCTTTGGGACCCAACCGATCCAATGGCCAGCCCATGAATTCTAACTTCTGCCAATTCATGATATAGCGCCGACCACTTCGCAATGTCTTCTTTGATGAGTTACTACCTCATCATCTTCAACCTTCTGTACCCTACTGGTCACGGCTTCCCACTAGGAACCCAGGTAACTACCTACCATTGGGTCGGGTCCCAGTGGCTTAATGGTCTGCGGTCTCGCCTTGTAACCGGAAGGTCCTGGGTTCGAACGCCGGTGAGTGCGTACTGCTGAAGAGTCCCAAACTAGACTGACGAAACAGCTGTCCGGTACTCGCAGGTATCAAATAGTTCCCTAACCAATGTCAGCTCATGATGAAATCCTGTAACCAATCAAATCTCTACAAACCAACACTAGAATAAATTTTGTTTGGCTACAGATTTCATACTCCAAGAAAGTATGGTGGAATTCGACAGCCTATATCATCAGTTAACTGAATGAATAAACACGAGGTAGGCTAAGGTCCAAACAAGCTGATGTTACAAATTACTACATACTGCCATCCATCGCATGATCCGAAGTTTTAGTCAAATAACATCTAATGAATAATGAGTGAGTTGTGATTCTAATAATACTCCTCCTCCTCCTTCTACTACAATTGCAACGGACTTCTTTATTAAACAGAACCACACCATATTTATACATTTTTAACCACATTTAGGGTCGGCTAGGTGGGCAGATAATAAACTGCTCTGACTGATCGTCGATTTTCTGAAGGTTAATTCCTGAGACGAAAAGTTGTTTAATGAGATTATTTCCTGACTACAACGTAAACTAAATTCAGGCTTGAGGAATAAACACTGCTACCTCTGCAAATGGCCATTAACTTAAAATGTTGTTTTCAATTCTCACAGCTTCTTATCAATCTGAGTCTATATACTACTGATAAATCTTGTCAGTAGCACACGCTACACTACTACTATTACTATTCAGATTACGACATGAGACTAGGCTTATTGCTCTGGTTTTGATCAGATTCATTAGTGGAGGATATTCTATATTTTTTTAAATTCATTAAATGTGATGTTTCTCCATTAAGAAAAGTGAACTCTAAAAGAGGTTCAAGTTTCCTTTTACCAGGAGTCAGGAACGAGTTTCTATCAAACTTTCCTGTTTTTTTTAATCCATTAAACAGAATTGATGAATACTGGTTAGGTAGTGGAGAAGAAAGATAAAGTATATATATTACTTGAAATATTCAAATCCCATATCAATGATCTGATGAATCGTGATTTTGATTTTAAAAAGTCATTACAACTACCCTCACAGGTTAGTCAATTTTGACGTATGATGTAAAGTATTATGAAACTTTTATTTGCTTCTTTCAAATACTTAAACCCTAGTGAAATTACGTAATCGAATTTATAGTAAGTCACAGCTATGTAACATGTAAAAGGTGGGAATGTTTAAGGCGGCTACAAGAGATGAGTAGTGCTATGAAGTCATTAGATAGTGAGATTAAAGGAGGGAAAAAGAATCAGTAAGGTAAATAGTAGGTATTAAAATGGTTACAAGAAAGATATAAAAAACAAATAAATATATAAAACAAAAATCCCTACAAAACCAATACTTGAAAATTCATCTGATGCTCACCATTATCCTTCTTTGAAGTGGACGAGTTGCTTGCCATATCTTCCCCCTGACACCAGTCTATTTTAGCATGTTTAGATGACGGTTTCTCCCAATTACCATGGTGGAATTCTTATGTGAGCATGCTGTTTATCAACCATTCATTGCTTTCAAAGTGGAAGTTGATTCGGAAACCAGATTTAACGTCCTCAAACTCCTGGATTTTCACTTTTTTCAAAGAATTCAATACACTTTCGTCTTTGCTATTGAGTAAGTCTGATAATTGGAGATGGTTGATGAGTGCAGTCAGCCAGAAATTTGTGATTTTTGGAATCAGTTTACACCGCTTCCCAAAATACGGCTGTCTCATTTTGTTGAACATTTTTTCATCCTTCAAAATCCCTTCAATGGCTCTCTCACTGAGGTTATCAGTGGAGTTCTGGGGTTTCTGTATTTCATCAGTGAGGGCGTTTGCGGAACTAACTTCCCTATCTGCGCCCAAATCATAACTGCTTTCAGTTACCATTGGGTTGAGTTGCCATTGTGAATGATAGTTGGTCAGATTTAAATCATCTCTGACTAATTTTCTATATCTATCACAGTTTCGCAGCGATCCATTAGTGCGAAAGAAGGAGAATTAGATAGCTATCTCATCCTCTTGAGCGGCTCTTCAGTCGTACGTATTCATAACTACGCCAGAGACAGAGAGCAAAATTTTCAGGTTACGAGCCGAAAATATTTACTGTTTGGCTTCTGGGTTAGAATCGAATGACTTGTGAATTCTAATTTTCTCAAATTCACGATGTAGCTGGCAATACATGTCGGTTCGTGTTGAAATCTTCCTTGAAATTAATCAAACATCTACAGACTGAACATTTGAACATTTTAGAGTTTTAACACAGGATTCACAGTTCATCTTTAAATCGATTTTACAGTTTAATTTTAGTTATAATTAGCCTTTCCTCTGTTGATTCCTGTGAAACGGTACTGAAGAAATTTGTCCTTTATAAATATGGGTTCTAATGTCAGATAACTGCTTCTATATGGTTTAGAGATTTAGTGTGTCACGAAAATTATTTCAAACAGGAGTCCGACTTTCATCATCAACAAATACCTTCGCTGTCTCGATTCTGAAGATCAGTTGGTCAGTTAGAAGGGATAGACAATGGGAAACATAAATAAGGGTGCATAAAAGAAGTGCTATAAAACATAAAAGAAAATGAGAAACAGTATTTCACTTATCATAATAATAGTAAACGAATTAGAAATATTGTACATTTAAATGCTTGATTTCACTTCAAATGATGGTGGTGATTTGTGGCTCAATAAAGTAACTTTATTGTGAGCTTTTCTCAATCGCTAAATTAGATAGATTATGAGAGTTTCGTTATCATTCTAGACAACTTATCTAGCGCTGGATACAAAAACTGGCGAAATCTTTTCAAAAACTAAATTATTCTGATCATATAAAGTGACAAAACTGAAAACAGGGACTTAGTTAAGCGGACGGGCCATATTCAGGGGCACACAAACTCGAAGATCTACAGGTGAAAACAACTTGAGAGCGGCAGCAAAGGCAGCACTCCATTCATTTGAAAATAGAGAGGACAAAGGGAATCAAGACACCCCTTCGAGCAACAGAAGCAGGCACCGATCACTACCAGCAGAAAACATGTGAATAAAGTGACTTTCTGCTCTTATCTAGGAAACATCGTTCCAGCTACAGGTAGAAAAGATCAGAATGTCAAAGGCAGGAGGGACTTTCATTAATCTGATATCAACGTGGAAATCTACTACACTCGATATCAGGAGCAAGATCTGGATAATAAACACTAGCGTCAAGTCAGTCAATGCCTTCATGTGCTTCAGAGACTAGGCGTGCTCATCAACGAAGGTATTTCCAGTAGGTTACTACAGACCTTCATTTGCAGCTGTTCCCTTAGATGCCTCGATATTGGAGGTCAGATAGCCGGGCAAAGGGGATAATCGACAAGGAACTCTGGTAACGAAACAACCAACAACGTATCGTCCAATAAGTATGCTGAAGAAAAAATGGAGATAGATTGGACACACTGACACATTACACGACAGACCCTCAAAAACCATAAAACCAAAAGTTAGTAAGAGTCAGCGGATTTCTACTATCTCATCCGGACTGATTAACACAAGAAGACTTATCCTGGAGAGTTGCAGATATGATGAGGGGAGAAGGCTGCTCAAACGCAAACTAACAAGAAGTCTTCGCAGCTGCCATGAGCAGTGGTGGGTGAAAAAAGCGAGGAAGATGGAAAAGGCACCGGCGATAGGTGACACCTGACAACTATTTAGACTTATCAGGGGAATAGGTGAATTATAAGTGAAACAATCTCCGAGAAAAATGACTCTGTAGTTAGCTTTCAAGATACACGACTGGAACGCTGGAAAGAACATTGTGAGGAGCAATTTAATTGACCTACAGCCACGTTCAACTTACCCAGCATCCATCACCTTCCTGAATAGGATATGAACACAGGATCTCTATCCATAAGTGAGGCTTCAAAAGCTGTCACTAGTCTGAGACGAGTCGAAGCAGCAGGATTTGATGGGATGACTCCAGAGGTGTTTAAGGATGGTGGAGACAGTTTACTGTTTGCGCTAACTAAAGTATTAGGCAGAGTCTGGGAATCAGAGGAAGTCCTGTCGCGTTGGTGTAAGTCATTGATTATCCCTATATACAAGAAGGGAGACAAGTCTTCCTGTGATAATCATTGAGGGGTTAGCTTGACTGACATGGTATCTAAATCTCTAGGCTCAAAGATCATGTGTAGACTAAGTGGTGTTTTGGAGGCACAGGCACGAGAGAACCAGGCAGGCTTTAGAACCGGAAGAGGGTGTATTGATCATATCTTCACCCTTAGACAGATTCTGGAACATAGGCATATTTAACAGGCGTCCAACAGTTGTCATATTTTTTGACCTGAAGCCGACCTTTGATTCTGTTGACCGAGGGGTACTATGGCGATGTATGGCCGTGAAGGGAGATAATCCTGAGAAAATACATCGCACTGATCAATGCACTCAACTCGAACTCATACGACCAAACATGTGAGAGCCTACGAAGAGTTGTCATCTGAAGTGGCTACAGCTAGTGGTGTCCTTCAAAGAGGGATGGCCACTGTCCCCATTTCTGTCTAATTTCACTATAGATTTACTAATGGAATCCACCCTAACTGACTAACTTCAGAGACCCAGAGATTAAATTGTTACGAATCAGGGAATAATCTCGTTGACTCAGAATATGATCATGATATAGTCCTTCCTCTTAGGTGAAGACGCTAACAAAATGCAGAGTCTTCCCAACACCTTGTGCAGTTATCTTCGAATGTTTTGCATGGGATATGTTCCTGTCAAATGTAAGATGATATTACAGGACTGGCCTACATTGACTCACTCTTAGCTTGAAGATAGGGAGTGGATTGGTAGAATGTGTTGACCACTTCGCTTATATGGATAGTTGCGTCAGCCAGCTCCAGCAGGTTGATTGCTGCAGAAATCTCAGCACGGATACAGAAGGTTCGTTTGGCATATGCCAACATACGCCATCTCTGATTAAGTAAACGTGATATCCGACCGGCTGTCCACCAAAGGGCGTGTGTACTGCTCAGCAGCTCGCTCTGTCCTCCATCATGGCTGTGAGACATGGTCACTGAAAGCGGAAGATATGAAAAGGTTAACTGTCTTTCGTCATGAGGGTGTGCATCCTATCTCCCACGTTAGGTGGTATAATAGGGTGAGTAATATTTAGATTAGGCATCGGTCGATTGCTAGGTGAGACGGGGAAATCAGTCGACGAGGTTGTGAAGTTCCACTGATTGAGGTGCCTAGCCATCGCCTTCCCCGACAACAGGCAATGTTAGCCGACGTTGGATGGGTCAGGCTGGTAAAGATTTAGCTAGTGGTGGTCAAAACAAAAATGGCTTCATCAGTCAATGAAATGCATAACAGTTAGTTTCAGCTATGTAGGGAGCTGCAGAATTCCTGGTTGGGTTCCTCAGGATGGCTAGAACCATGTGTAGAGACATTTAGTGATATGGTGAAACGTTTTATAGTCTGTAATTTGTGACAAAAAGTGTATTAGCTGACTGAACACCGCCGTTACCATAGTAATATTGTGCACTATAAAACATTGTAATTTGGTCATTTCTGGATGGGGATGTCTTCAGAAAGTGATTTGGGTTGAAATATTTATGAAAATTTCGAGGTTAAATTGATTATATACACTGTTTAGTGGTATTGTTCTATCCTTTGAGCCAGATGGTTAAACTGAGAATTTTTCTTTATCCTTCTGGATAAATGAGTGACGTTTTTAGCACAAATTATTTCTCGTAATCATATAAATATGCATCGTAGACACAGTGGTAGAATGCTCATCTACCATGCATGTGGTCCCCTGTTCAATACCCGGCAGACGCATTCCTTTACCTCACTAAGCCAGTAATTAGACTGGTAAAGAGGGGAAGTTGGGCATGAGTCTAGGATCCCTATCCCTTAAAAAAATAAACACCACTGCTACCGAAACTTCAGAGCATCAGCTTGAAGCCTTACGTTCCCTTCGGAACGTAAAGGAATGAAAGAAATCAAAAACTTGTATTTGCACCATCTGATAACTTGTTTTATACAACCATTTTTCTAATTCCTTTACGTTTCCAGTGTAACATAGGGCTTCAAGCTAGAGACTTGAAGTTTCTGTAGCAGTGGTGATTATCTTTACAGGATGGGGTTGCTAGACTCATGACAAGCCTTCCCTCTCTACCAGTCTTATTACTGACTTAGCGAGGTAAAGGATTGCGTCAGCAGGGGATCGAACCCCGGACTACCTGTGTGGTTGGTGAGCACTCTACCGCTGTGCTGCCAACGCACAATAACCTTACTCCTTACTATCCTTTACTTTAATTATTCATATGTTGGAGAAGGTATGGCATCATTTCGGTTGGATGTATTTAATGCTGATTGGACAAAATAAGCTAAATATGTTACTTTATAATACTTTTATTCTATCTCATACTGTTGTATGATTACATGCAAGTTTATGCATTGTAATAACAAAGCATTTTTTCTAGATTATTTAACTTAGTAGGTTCAGTCATTTCAGGTCTAGCTAAATTCGTGTGTTGCAATAATCTAATTGATTCCGATCCAGTAGTGTGACCTCACTGCATGGTATTTGGTAAATTATATTATATTTCCTAATTGGATCTTTTTGGTCCATAACCCGACAAAGTTTGCCTCTGGGTGAACTGGTTGGTCTAAATTAATAAAGCTGGAATAATTGACCCTGATAAATTAAGTAATGTAGAAAGAAAATCGGTCATCAAAGTGCATTCATTCACATGTAATCTCACAATAGGGGAAACGAGAAGACAGGGATATCCTGGACCAACGTGAAGAACCTAGAAGACCTGGATTTCGCGCGTGGATGATTTATGTTTGATGTCACACAAGATCGAAGACTTACAAGCGAAAACCGACAAACTGGTCGAAGAAGCAGCAGAGACAGGACTCCAGGTGAACATAGACAAGACGGTGATTATGAAAATAACCAACCAACAACAACAACAGCAGCAACATCCAGCGCCAATCACCATCAACAGAAGGGATTTGAAAGAGGTTACTTCATTCAGTTATTTGGGGAGCATTGTCTCAACTACAGGAGGAACGGACGAGGATGTCAAATCGAGAATCGGGAAGGCGAGAAACACATTCATCAACCTGAAACCAATCTGGAAATCTTCGTCACTCAGCATCAACAACAAAATGGAGGCGTGCAGTTGAAGCCCTATGTTCCACTAGGAACCCAACGGAACAATAATAATAATAATAATAATAATAATAATAATAAGGGAGTAAGGCTACATGAAGCAAGTTGTGAAGTTGTGTGAACACATTGACATGATTATTATATTATTCTTGTTCCTTTGGGTTCCGAGTGGAACATAGGGCTTCAACAGAATATCTCCACTTCGTCCTGTCTTCTGTGGTCCTCTTCTTCTGACCCCACAGTTGCCAATAAGATCTCATCCCCCCGCATGACTTCCTCCATGCCAATCTCGGACGCCTAACTCCTCGTTTCCCACTTGGGCTCCACTCTAGTGATGGCCTGAAGCGCGATGTCACTTGACGGTCCCCTCAGCCTCTGTTCGGTCTTTTTCAATATTTTTTGGAATATTTCTTCAACAAAAGGTTCTCCGCTGGTTCCTTCCTTGAGTACCTTACTGGTAATTCTTCCTGATACGACATCGGATTTTTAATATGGAGCAGAGGTAGCTATTGGCGAAAGTCTGCAGCAGATTGTTGGAAATGCTTTTCATGGCACATGCACCGGGTTTGTATCTCATGTGGAATCACTGACTGACTTGATATTGGTATTGAAAATCCGAATCTCGTTTCGTATGCTGACTGGGCGCAGAACATCTTCAAACTGGTTTCAGAGTGATATATGCCTGTCTTGCCTTTTTGATTGTGGTTTTGACATCCTCATCTGTACCGAGTGCCTGTCGTTGAGTCTATGCTGCCTAGATAAGTGAAGGATGTCACCTCTGTTAAATCTCCGTCGTTAATGGTAATTGGTGTTCTTTATTATTGTTGGTTGTCAGCCCTTGATGAAATCCTGTGAGCAATCAATCAAATCCCTACAAAACGAATACTTGAATATCGATGAGATGCTCACTGGCGACTGGCCCTATTCATGTAGGTAGTTACCCGAGGTTCTAGTGGGAAGTCGTGACTAGTAGCGTGCAGCAGGTATGGTGTGAGGACAAATACTCACCGAAGACATTGGCTAGTGGTCATGAATTGGCAGAAGTTAGAATTCATGGAATGATCATTGGATCGGGTCCCAGGGGCTTAATGGTCTACGAGCTAGCTCGCCTTGTAACCAGAAGGTCCTGGGTCCGTACCGCCTCTGGTGGATACGTACTTCTGAGGAGTTTCAAACTAGGCTGACAAAACAGCTGTCCAGTACTCCTTGCTGGTTTTCCAAGGGATCTCTAACCAATGTCAGCTCATTATGAAATTCTGTAACCAGTTCTCTATGTTCAGTTGAAGTCCTGCCTTCTCTGTCTTTTCAGTCAGTTTGTTAGCTTTTGACTGCAAGTCTTCGAGTTTGTGTGACATTAGATATAAATCATATACGCGCGAAATCTATATATCCTAGAGTTGTCTAAATGATCCATCGTATTCCCGCCTTTTCGAATTCCACAGTGTTTCGCATAATCCCGTCCAGAACAATTGATATGACTGTGAGCCACAAGTAATGCTCGAAACATCATCAGTAAATAAAATCGTATCAATGTGTGCTTTTATCGATTAATTATACTCTACCATAATGCCTAAATTCTACTCTTACACTTCTAAGTGACATTTGCAGCGTTAACTTCAATATCTACAACGATAATAGAAGATTCCCTACCACCCAGCTCAGATAATACAACCATCCACAAAAATGCATCCATATGAGCTACAACTCTTTTGTACTCACTTCTTCTAGAAAATAAACAGTACTCTTTCTAATCTTGCTATTTATTTCTGTTCACAACACTGTTTTTCATTATTTTTTTTAGTTTGATTATTGTGAAACATTACCGGAGAGAAACTCAAATCCAACCAGTATTTTGGCGACACAATCAGAAACACTGTAAGTATATTGAGAAAGTTAATGTCTTCTCAGTAAGAAAAATGAATCTGGATTACTTATTTAACTAATGGTGTTTTGTAACTAAGTACCTTTATTTTGTAAATATAACTTGAAGCTCTGTTTTCTGGTATAGGTAATCATATAGGTGTGAATTTTATAATGACTCCTGTTACACATATCGTTGAATGTATGGATAAACTGATGTGTTTAATAGTAGTGGCGAGCTACCTAGAATGGTGGCCTTATTGTAAACCTGACTGATAGAATTCAGTCTGCACCAACGAAAGGACTAGACACATTACGCTAGTTACTGTCGAGTGTCTAATCAAAGTATCCACTACAGTCCTACAGGAGGTCAATCGCGAGCCCGAGTAGCTCAATGTTAACGTCTCTGACTGCAGGCGGCAATGGGTGACGCGAGTTCGAATCTCAGAAGGGACATGAGTTCTTTCAAGGTTGCAGATACTCCTTGTTGACTGGTGAGTGCCAACTAGCACGAAAACTAGGTCCAAAGCTTCCTGCCGATTGCCTCCATCCATCTAACATCAATAAATAGTAGTATATGTTTACTTTATCTTGGTTTCATGCCTACCAGTATCATTAACCGTGAGGAAACTCACTCTTCTTCTGCTTCTGAAAGTGGCATTGAATGACAAAAATCTGAATCTCACTAGAAGCATGACCCACTCTATGGTTACTGTGAAATCAGACCGAGATTCCTGGAGTTTAATAAGATCTAAAGTCATACAAAACTCAAGGGTACTCCTTTCCTAACTCATATAAAATTTGTAGCCTTTTATCTACACTTAAAAGATATCTAATTATGTTGACTAGTGCTCAGAGGATAATTCGCACAAATCTGAGAGCCTACATCAGTGATACCACTGAATATCGCTCACAATTCCTTGAATTCCAGTCTAGTCAAGATGTTTAACGCATCCCTTTTTTGTGCCAAACAAAGGTAATTGTACCTGAAGTATAAAGATATGAGTTTATGCAAATGTATTATGTGTCTGCCTCCTAAGTAGAAGATTGCGGGTTCGTGTCCCGCCATGGGTGTGGCTTTTGCGTCGGTGGCATAGCGGTTAGGACGCTCGCCGACCATACACATAGTCCGGAGTTCGATCCCCGGACACAGACGCACTGCTCTACCTCTCTAAGCCACAACTAAAGCTGGTGAAGAGTAAAGGTTGGGCATGAGGCTAGCAACCCCATCCTGTAAAATGAACACTGCTACAGAAACTTCAAGCCACTAGCTTGAAGCCCTATGTGTCACTGTGGAACGTGAAGGAATAAAAACAATTATGTGTCAGTAGTAATCCCTTGGGTTCCAAGTGAAAAATAGGGCTTCATTAGCACATTACCATTCCATTCTACTTTTCGTAGTGCACTATAGCTCATGGGCCTTCATTTTTTCATCACATGATCTATTTCATGTCACCTTTGGACGCACGTCCAACTCGTCATTTCTCTTTCGAATTCTAGTCGAGGGCGTGTATTATAATTTCACTCAGTGGTTTTTTTCAGCGTCTGCCCAACTAGTCTCCTTTATTTCCTGCTGTATATTTGTTAAGCAGTAGGTTCTTAATTAATTCGTTGCACGCCAGAAGTTTCTTGTTGTATATTCCTTTCCGACCGACCATCTCATCTCCAGTATCGAGGTACTGAAGACAGCCTTTGATGAATGTTTGAAGTAGTATGTTGCAAAAGTCCTTTATGATGTATCAAGTCCCTGAACTATATAGAAGCACTCACTTGGCATCAGTATTGTAGATGCAGATCTTGTTTTCTAAGCTCATTGAAGTTGTTGTATCGGTAAATACCTTCTTCCTGTAGGTCATTCACTATCAGGGTATTAAGCAGAATGAAGATCAGTTGAGTAACGCGTTAATTTTATGAGACTACCACTGAAGTTGATTGGTAAACTGAAAGAAATGGGTGAGTCGGAAGCAGCGAGATGTGACTGTAAATTAATCCCGATCAATAACCAGCTACATGCAGAAGAATAAAGGTGTAATGAGATGGTCAGTAACTCAACTGAACTGTGATGTGGTTAAATCGACACTAAGTCTGAGTGATTATTTCACGTGGAACGTTGCAGAGAAGTGCAGCAGTCCAAGTTGTTACGCCCCATGGAGCATACAAAGATACAGAAAGGAAGAAAATTTCAGAGGAATGTATGGAGGAAAGAATAGTAACATGAAAAAACACAAGAGTACTTGATGGATATAGGGCATTAGAAAGAGTGAATGGATCTGTGACAGTGGGAACAATTTTGAGCTATATCACTGACAGTCTTCACCCATTAGTTCTTAGCATGCTGAGGATCCCAACCAGTCAGTTTACACCCTTCTATGCGTTTGGCTCAAACCAACAATTAAAGATTTCATAGACTGACGCCTATCGGCTAGGATTGCTTGTTCGGCATTAACACCATAAATTGGTCCCGCCTCGATAACCAACTGATGTATTGATTACAGTCCTAGAGTAGGTTAGGCAAGGATCTGGATATCTAAGTGAGATGGAAACTTCTCTAACTAAAGTATTAAGTGATGTCATGATGGAATCATTAAGTTCTATCGATGCTTCCTATATTACCTTGCTAATCAGTGTTAAATAAGTACTAAACCTGAGTTCGAGTCTTCCTTCCCATTGACTTTAGTCGTTTTACAGTGTTTGTAAATTTCGAGTTTGACAACGGATTGATATCAGTTAGAGAACCATTGAAAACCAGAACGGAGTATTGGACAGTTGTTCCTCACTATTTTGGGACCCATCACCAGGGTTCAAACCCAGGACCTTCTGGTTGTAAGGCGAGCTAGAGAGTTCCAAACTAAGACAGAACAGCTTTAAAGTACACCCTGGTTTTCAATGGTTCTTTAACTGGTGTCAGTCCTTGGTCAAACGTATAACAAATCAAATCCTTACAAACTAACTCTTGAAAATTGATCTGGTGCTTGTCAGTGACTGACTGGCTACCGGAAGCGGTTGCCTGGAGTTATAGTGAGAAGTGTTGATCTGTGGGCTGAAGAAAAATGCTCACCGATGACACTGGCTGGTGGTCTAGCTAACATGACGAATTGGTAGAAGTTAGAATTCATTGGCCATTGAGTCGAGTTCCAGTGGCTGAATGATTCACGAAGTTGCCATGCAGGCGAAAGATCCTAGGTTCGAATCCCTACGAGTGTGTGTAGTGAAGAGTTTCAAACTAGGACGAAACAGGTGTTGATTGCTCCGTGTTGGTTATTAATATCTCTCTAATTGGTATCAATCCGTGGTCAAACTTGAAACAAATTAAATATCCATAAACTAATTCTTGAAAGTTTTAGATTTCACTTTAAAAATATAAAACAATTAGTTCCCTCTATGAATTTAGACAAAACAATAGAAGACGTAATCGGTTTGGATCGTGTATTGTGTATTTGCGCGATACATTTTGAACAGTCTGATCACAGACGGATTTGTCAAAGGAATATATATGAAATTAATAAAGAGTTAAGAGGTGAGAAAATAGACTTAGGCCAAGTTAGAAGTTAAAATAACAATGAAGATCACTAAACCAAATAACAGAGGTAATAGTAAATCTGCTATGGTATCAAAACAAAATTTACCAAGGAAGGTTTAGTGTGATGACGAATTGTTGCTTTGAACGCATACAGGTGGTTTAAACTTCCTAATTACCAGGTAGGGCTTCCACAAACTTTAGGATACGCCCCAAATACGTTTTATAGATAGGTTTAAAAGATGTGTTAACGTCAATTTTATGTCCTGTCTCCTCTGTAATATGTTTCGCAATAGAGGAACTAGGTCGTCTGTTCTCACCATTAATGGATTTCTGAAGATCCTGTTTGTTTCTGGAGCCATTTAGGAATATGCTCTGAAGCCCTTACTTGCAGAGGTTGATGAGTCCTCCTCTTAACTCTTTATTAATTTCATATAAATATATATATATATATATATTCCAATGAGAAGTCCGTGTGTGATCGGATTGTTCGAAATGCCTTGCGCAAATACATAACAGGATTCAGACGAATTATGTCTTCTTATTGCTTTATCCACATATCACTTTATTTAGATTGGAACATAAGGCTTCAAACTTTTTTATGGACTTCGTCGAAAAGAAAATTTTCTTCTCTGCAACTGACTTTTTTATGCTTTGAAGTTTCAGTAGCAGTGGTGGTTGTTTGTATTTGCAAGGTGAGGTTGCTAGCCTCAAGTCTCAACCAATTTCCCGTCTTTACTCATTTTACTACCGCGTAGGAGAGGTGTTTAGGAGTGCGTCGTCCGGGAATCGAACCTCAAGCTATTTGCATGCATGATTGGCAGGCATTTTACCTCTGAACCACAACTAGCAATCGATAAACACATCAAAGTCCTAATAACTTTTTAAAAGTTAATTCATTGAAAGTCTGTTGTACCATTCTGGGATATGTATGCACGACTGAAAACCAATAAACAAACGCAATGATGTCCATTGTGTTTTTCAAACAACAGAAGACAGCAACAACAACAACAACCACAACAGCAACGACAGTTGTGTAATAGTTTTAACCCTGACTTAGTTTTTGTTTTCATACCATTTTAAATTGATGGCAAGTTATAAGGCGACTTATTCATTGGCTTATAGTGATTATTCATACACCATTTCAGTCTCCCTCACTCTCTCTCTCTCAATCTATCTGTATACTTTTCCTGTTGGTTACAATATCGATTTAATATTGGATTAGTCATTCTGACTATGAACTGTCTAAATCTGTAATTTGATACAAAAATTGTGAATATTATTACTATTGTTATTATTACTATTAGATCAGTTGTGTATTTCGCCTTTTTTTTCTTGTTATTTTTATTACTACTGCTGAATCATGTTGCTTTTCTCTTGCTTTTCACTTCATTTCTAACATTTACCAGTCAATAATTTCAGCACAATGTGTAATTATTATTGTGATTATTGTCCGTGTTTGGTTGTCTGTTTGCTAGTTGTGCGTACGTTTGTGTTT